CCCACCCCACAGGCTTTTTGCCACTTGAATAGTGGGTCCTCCTGTAGGGCAAGGCGTGGGGTGCCTCTGGGGGGCTGCCAAGCCTGCACCTTCTGGTCACAACCCTGACGACAAAGGTGTTGAGGCTCGAGACTCAGCCAGCCAAGCTCCCCTCTCCCGTGGCCCCCATCAGTGCCCCGGCAGGAGAAGAGGCATCGGGCTTACTCACCCCCCTAAAGGAAGGGGGTGCTGAATCACCCAGAGGGCAAGCGCTGGCCCCTGGTCACATGGTGAGTGGGAGCCAGGTCTCTGTACCCCATTTTACAGGAAGAAAAACAGAAGCTCAGAGGTGACAGGGTGCCCATCACCTGGCCTCTGGGAAGGACAGACTTGGAAGGAAGGGACCCAGAGGTGAGGCAAGGAGGGTGCCCAGCAGGCAGAGGTGGCCACCACCAAAGGCCAGACAGGTGGAGCATGCAGAGGCCTGTGGTGCCTGGGGCCAGGCAACACGAAGGCCCTGTCACTTTACATGTCAGTGAAGTGATGACCAAGGTGTCCTCGAGAGGCATCATTCCCGCATCCCTCCTTAGACCCCGAAAGGGACTTGGGAGAGTGGCCCACCCAGAAGCCAGCTGACTCCATAGCTGGGCACCGGGAGCAGAAAAGGCCAGGATAGCGCAGGCCTCAGTCGGCACGTGGCACCCCGTAGGCCCTTAATAAACATCTTCCAGTCGCACATAAGCGGTATGGCCCTGCCCTGCCCTGCCCTGCCAGCCCACTGCCCAGCCAGGGCCCCGGTTGGATCACTCACCTGCGTCTGGACCACGCAGGGCTACAATTGGCTTGTATTCTTGTGTTGTATATTTCAGCTGCCAGACTTAGCAAATAAAACTATCGTTACATTTGCATTTCAGAAAAACAATGAATAAGTTTTTAGTATAAGTATGTCCTATGCAAAATTTACCTGGCAACCCTAATTATATTCTTTCAGTATGGTCTCTTTTACTGCAAGGCAAGTTCCTTCAGAGCAAGAACTGTCTCTTAGAAGATTCAAGATTCAAGGATCCCCAAGCCTTAGGCCTGATGCTCTAAACAGTCTTGTCTTTTTTTTGAGACAGAGTCTCGCTTTGTTGCCCAGGCTAGAGTGAGTGCCGTGGCGTCAGCCTAGCTCACAGCAACCTCACACTCCTGGGCTCAAGCGATCCTCCTGCCTCAGCCTCCCGAGTAGCTGGGACTACAGGCATGCGCCACCATGCCCGGCTCATTTTTTCTATATATTTTTAGTCGACCAATTAATCTATTTCTATTTATAGTAGAGACGGGGTCTCGCTCTTGCTCAGGCTGGTTTCGAACTCCTGACCTTGAGCAATCCGCCTGCCTTGGCCTCCCGGAGTGCTAGGATGACAGGCGTGAGCCACCGGGCCCGGCCTCACCCTGTCTTCAGGAACTCAAATCTGCGTCCACCCTCAGGTATCAGAGGCCGTGTCATGCCGGACGCCCCTGGGACCGGGGATGCGCCCAGGGAGGTCAACATGTGGTGCAAAGGACAGTCCAGAGACGGGGGTGGGGAGGTGAGGGGCAGAAGGGCATGACCAGGGCCCGGACAGGCGTTGCAGCAGAGGGATCCCAGCCGGGGAAAGGGTGGGCTCCACTGGCCAGAGACAGGCAATTCAGGAAAGTAGGACTTCTGAAGAGTGAGAGTCTCCTGTAGGCACCCAAAGGACTGTCCCCCCCACTCCCGGGGAGAGGCCAGTTCCAGCAGGCCTTCACCCACCTAGACCGGGCACCGGCTTGCAAGTGACTGTTCTGTCTTGGAGGCAGATCCTGGGGTCGATTTCAGTGCAGAAAACGTCTCTGAGGTCTTCCTACTGGGCCTGCCGCTGCCTTTACTAATTCTCCAGGCAGCGACTGGGGTTAAACAAAGACGCCTTCTGGATGGGGGCTGGCGGCAGAGGGTTGCACCGGTGCTGGGGACCTACTTGCATTTTCAAGGACAGTGCGGGTAGGGGCAGAGCTTAGGTGGGGGCAGCGCAGAGAGAAGGGTCTACAAAATCTCAATGTCGAGAGACTTCATAAATCGCCCTTGCTGTGCTGGGCATGTCTGCCCGGGAAACCGCACTGTAGTTAGAATACTGCTCGCTGGGCCGGGCGCGGTGGCTCACACCTGTAATCCTAGCACTCTGGGAGGCCGAGGCAGGAGGATCGCTCGAGGTCAGGAGTTCGAGACCAGCCTGAGTAAGAGTGAGACCCCCCCCCCCGTCTCTACTAAAAAAAAGAAATTAATTGGACAACTAAAAATATATAGAAAAAATTAGCCAGGCATGGTGGTGTGTGCCTGTAGTCCCAGCTACTTGGGAGGCTGAGGCAGGAGGATCGCTTGAGCCCAGGAGTTTGAGGTTGCTGTGAGCTAGGCTGACGCCATGGCATTCTAGCCCAAGCAACTGAGCGAGACTCTGTCTCAAAAAAAAAAAGCAAAAGAACACTGCTTGCTGAGCAGAGAATCGGAACAAGCCAGGGTGTGATGTTCTTCGGAGACATTTCCTGCAAGTCCTGAAGTCTCTGGCCGCTGAGCATACTTCGTTCTAGACCAGTAATCTTCACCCTGGGCGAGCTTCCCTCCAGGGCACCTTTGTGTCTGGAGACATCTTGGGCTGTCAAAACCGAGGGGGTGGGAGAGTGCTCCTGGCATATAGCGGGTAGAGGCCAGGGACGTGGGCACACGTTCTGCAATGCACGGGACAGCCCCACGACAGGCACTGTCCAGCCCACGTGGCCGAGACCACCGGCAGCAGCCCTCAGAGTCAGGACTCCTTCCCCTGCTCAAGGCTGCACAGACGCCAACTTTCTCATTTGCACCTATTTCAAAACCTCATGAGAGGCGGGCGCGGGGGCTCACGCCTATAATCCTAGAACTCTGGGAGGTCGAGGTGGGCAGATTGCTCGAGGTCGGGAGTTCGAAACCAGCCTGAGCAAGACCCCCATCTCTACCAAAAATAGAAATAAATTAATTGACCAACTAAAAAATATATATACAAAAAATTAGCCGGGCATGGTGGTGCGTGCCTATAGTCCCAGCTACTTGGGAGGCTGAGGCAGGAGGATCGCTTGAGCCCAGGAGTTTGAGGTTGCTGTGAGCCAGGCTGATGCCACGGCACTCACTCTAGCCTGGGCAACAAAGTGAGACTCTGTCTCAAAACAAAAAACCAAAAACCATGAGAACACCCACTTTAAGGGTGGGAGGGATATATGTATTTTTCCAAACAGGCCTTCCTGTAAAATCTTTTTAATTTTTATTTAAATTATTTATTTACTGATTTTTTCCTCAACTCCAGCTTCACAGAATTATGCAAAAATCTTTGAACACAGTAAAGCAATCTCTAGAGGTGAAATTATGCTCTAGGGCACCGTTTTGCATGGTCCACCGATAATCTCGTGGCTGTGGCCTCAGGGCCAGGGGGCCTCCCCTTGGGGTCTACAGGGCTTTTCGGGGCTGAAGTGTGATTAGCCCTTCTTCTGGTCCCTTCATGAGGGAAATGGTCTTGACTTATAAAAGTGGAAAGAAAAAACCGGCCGGCCTCATTTCTATGTCGGCGGACAGTAATAGAAGCTTGATTTGCATAAGTTCCCAGGCAGGAGCCGAGTTTAAACGCCCTTGCAGCGGCGGGGCACTCACTGTGTCGCCAGCAAGAAGTGCACGGTCTTTCCCTGCGATGGTTTCCTTTATGGATCTAGCCTGCCTGTAAAGGGTGGTCTGTCATCTAATGTAAAATTCATCTGCTGTGTCAGAACGTTTGAATGACGGAATGGCAGGGTCCGAAATTTGGTGAAGTGACAGCCAGGCCACCTTGGGGACAGGAAGCTAAGCCAGGCGCAGGCTGGGCGGAGGGGTTGCTGCACAGAGCTTCCTTCTGACGCCCGGGCACGCCTGCCGCTGCAGAGAGAGGCGGCTGCCCACGTCTCCTGTCTAGGCCCCAGACCGTGACGCGGGTGCCCGGCAGGGCCCGGCGCTGTGGGATTCCCCGCACTTCTTTCCAGACTCGTCTCTGGGATAACTGGATCAGTCCCATAAGAACCCCCGGGTCCCCAGGTCAGGGCCACCCTCCCTGCCCCAGCCCTTCCAGAGCTCTGCAGGTTCCTGTGGGTGCCACCTCCCCATGCTGAGGTCCTCCCTCTGTGTCCCCTGGAACGTGGGCTCCGTCGGTGTCAAAGTCCCCTATGCCCTCAGCCTTTCGACCAATGTCTTCTCATCTACACATCACGGAAACCAGACCCTCCTCCCCAGGGGCTGGACACCTGCCGCCGTCTCAGGTGGTGGCGGCCCCACGGCCCCCGTGGCACTGGGCCGGGACACGGGGTCAACATCCTCTTGATTCTCCTTCCCTAAACCATCCCCCCGCCCAAACAGCACTCAGGTCTTCCTGCTCCCTGGGCCGCGCTCAATCCACAGACATCATCGTTCCTGGCGCTTCCCGGCCTTGGTTCCTACCCCGCTTGCTTCCGCACTGCCGTGATTCCTGGAGATTTCAACGTGCTCAGAAATCATCCCTCCTATATCCTGGCCCTGCGGTTCCTTAACTTCCAACACCTCGTGTCCGCCTTGCCATCCCACTGAAGTTGTTCCAGCCCATAATACGCCGTTGTCAGGCTGCACCTTATTCAGCCAGTCCTTCCAGATGCTTGGGCCCAAAACCTTAGGCCCGCTTCAGTGGCTGTCCTCCCCACCCAGCCCGTGTGCCAGCAGATGCCGTGGGCCTCCAGAACGGGCGTCCACCCGCCCAGCCACCCCTGCAACCTCTGCTCCGGTCCCGGGAACAGCCTCATGCTCCCTGGGATTCTGCCTTTGAGCCCCATCCCAATGCGGTGGCCAAATGACCCCATCGAGGGCAGCTGACATCCTGTGCTCTGTCTGCTCCACGCCCTTCCCAAGCTGCCCCCCCACAGGACCCTCCCCAGTCAACCCCCTGCCCAGGCCTCTGACCTCGCCCGACACCCTGACGCTGCTTCCTGCGCTCTGGTCACACAGGGCCCTGGTCTAGGCACACGCTCCTCTGCTACCTCCCTTGAGTCCTTGCCTTGTGGTCTCTTCTCAGTGACAATGTCCCAAATGCCACCCTCCCTCCCCCCACCCTGTGTTCCCCTTCCCTCTCCCATGCTTGCTTCTTTTTTTTTTTTTTTTTTTTTTATTTCTTTATTTTTTTTTCTACAAGAGTCTTGCTTTGTTGCCCAGGCTAGAGTGAGTGCCGTAGCATTAGTCTAGCTCACAGCAACCTCAAACTCCTGGGCTCAAGCAATCCTGCTTGCCTCAGCCTCCCAAGTAGCTGGGACTACAGGCATGCGCCACCATGCCTGGCTAATTTTTTGTATATATATTAGTTGGCCAATTAATTTCTTTCTATTTATAGTAGAGATGGGGGTCTCGCTCTTGCTCAGGCTGGTTTCGAACTCCTGACCTCGAGCAATCCGCCCACCTCGGCCTCCCAGAGTGCTAGGATTACAGGCATGAGCCACTGTGCCTGGCCTGCTTGCTTCTTCTAGAACATTCTAACACACGGCAGAACGTGCTGACTTTAGCATCATCCGTCCCCCGGCCCCACTAGAATGTAAGACACACGAGGGTTTTGTTTCCACGACTTGCTGAATCCTCAGGGCCCGGAATAGCACCTGCGACCAGTCATGTGCTCAGCAAATCTGAGCAGGAGGCAGGAGCCCTGGGGGAGGCGCCCCCACCATCTGCACGGGGACTTCCCCCACGCCCTGCTGCTGGCTCTCTTTTTAGCGGCAACACCAACAACATGTTGGGTTTTAAAGCAAATGAGGAAACGGCAGTTCAGCCTGTGCCTCATTCAAGCAAGATGGGCGTCACCACTACCGGGCACTCGCCCTTAAGTAGAATAGAGGGGGATGCCCTGCTCTGTGACCCGGTGACCCGGCGACACAGGGTAAGGGGTTGGATGGGACAAGACAGGGAGGTGACTGAGCACCTTCACCTCAACAGACGCAGGGCTAAGATGGGGCAGGGGAGGGGAGGGAAGTGTAGGCAGAAAGACGGAGTGGGCAAAGGTGGGGCGTGGGCTGGGCCAGGGGCTGCCAGGGACCTTCCCTGCTGTTCCCTCCTCCCTGGCCCTGTACTGCCCTGGGCTGTCAGATGCTCTCGAGCTGCCTCCAAGAGTAAGGCAGCCTCCCGTATGCTGGGCACTGCCCTCGCCCTGTCCGGAGGCCAAGGTGCCCCCCCCCCAGAACTCCCCAGCCCCCTCTGGGGTCCTGCCCACCCAGCTGGCAGTGGGGCTTCCAGAGGAGCTGGAGCTCCTGCCCAGGGGACACCCTCCTCCAAACAGCCCAGGCGGAAGCCGGGAGCCAAGTACCGTCCCTGCCTGGTGTCCCCTGGAGGTCCCCCATGCTGGCCTGCTCAGCCTGCTCCTCTCCATCACCCCAGGGCCCCACTGGGGAGGAACCGGGTTCCAGAACTGTCCTGCTGTCCTCCGGCACACGCCTGTCACCATCAGCAACCTCCTCCCCAGCCCGGGCACCTGCCATGGGTGGGGGTTCTGATGCCAGGGTCCCCAGCTGGGAGAACTTCTCCCTCCAGCATGCTGGGCTACTCACCTCTTGCTTGTTGGAGAAGCTGCTGGCGGCTGATAGAGCAGTGAGGGGCGTCAGGGGAGCAGGAGGAGGCCCAGAGGGCCCCCGCTGATTCCCTGTGGCGCGGCCAGGACTCCCGGCACCCCCGCTCACAGAAGCTCTTTTGCATCCACCACGATTAGTATTGTCAGCCCCTTTTGCAGATGGGAAAATAGTGAGCCCAGGGTGGTAGGGCAGTGACTGGACCATGTGTACAGTAGGGGCTGGTCTGAGACTCAAGCCCAGATCCTCCTCTCTCTGTCTCATGCTTCCAGAAGGGCCCGTGCCTTCCAGTCCCCTGTCTTGTGCCCCCTGCACGCCCAGCCTGGGCCTGCCCCTCAAGGCCCTGGCAGCAGCCCCTCAACAACATCCACAGTGGGCTCGCCCAGCACAGCCCGGCTCAGCAGCTGAAGGGTGCTCATGGCTGGGTGGGTGTGGGGCCTCTGCTCAGGCTCGTGAGGCCTTCCTAGGTCCCGGCCTCCTCCACGCTGGCCTCCCTTCCCGGGATGCTCACCGGGTGGCAGCTGTGGCAAGGAGAGAGAGGAGATAACCTGGGGGCCCAGCAGCCCAAGGCCCCAGCTGCCAGAGCCCTGGCAGACCCAGGACAGCTGAGCTGTAGGACTGCGGGCAGCAGATGTCCGCGTCCTAACCCCTGGCCCCACGAGCATGTTGTGTTACACGACAGGGGGAACTGAGGCTGCCTATCTGCTGAGACAGGGCGGTGGTCCTGGATTATCTAGGGGGGCCTCATGTCACCACGAGGGTCATCGCTAGGCAGCCAGGGAGGACTGGAGGTTGGACCCCGCTAGAGAAGCAGGGAGGACAGGCAACTTCTGCCCATTGCATGTCGGTTCACAGCCAACCGTGCCCTGGTACCTGGTAGATGGCCTATGCTGCGCCCAGCCCAGGATGAAGCCTCAGAATGGACGAGGCCCCTGGTGGCGCCAGGGGTGTGATTCATTGTGCCCAAGCACCACCCTCAGGGGGCTGGGAGGGTCAGGGCCCTTCCTCCAGCCCTGCTGGTGGTGCCGGGAGGTCATGTGGATGGCTGTTCCCAGGGACCCGGGCACAATGCCAACCTCAACGAAAAGGAGATGGAGTCACATCACAGATGGTGTCACGGCCTTATCAGCCGCCTGCAGCGGAGCAGCCGGACCTGGGGGGCAGGGTGGGAGTGAGCATGGTGTCCCGGAGCCCTGCGGCCAGCCCAGGGCTGGACCCCTCAGGGCCTGCGCTCAGGGCAGCCCAAGCACAGGGAGAGCCGTGGAGCAGGCAGGGTGAGGACCAGGGTCCCCCGCTGCTGCCTGGGCCTGGGGCTGCTGGACCAGCCTGTCCCTTTCTGGCCAGGCTCACTCGCTTTGTGCAGGAAGTGCCCATCTGAGCTGCCTTCTTCAGAGACGGTGCCACTGCCACCAGGTCACCTTTGCTTGCGATGGGAGCTACTTGCTCCCTACAGAGCCCGAGTGGTCAACCACACTCCCTACCCCAGGCACGGCTGGTTAGTCCGGGAATGGACACCTGGCCCCGGAAGGCCAATTACAGCCCTGACCCCGGGGACCCCTCTGGGCCACTCTCAGGGGATCGCTGAGGCCGGGGAGGTCTGGGTGCGTCAGGAAGCTTGCCTGAGGGGTGGTCACGCTGGCCGGGGAGCAGCCGGAAGGACGAGGGGCAGAGCCGGCTCTCTGTTGGCCCCTCCGTGGGTGGTCTCCTTTCTCCCAGCCACCTTGAGTCACCTTCTGTCACTTGCCACCCATGGCCCTCGGTGCCCACTGACTTTTCTGCTTTTAGTCTCCCCATTCGGGAGCAAGAGCATTTTCTCTGTTTCCTGGCAAAACCCCCTTCCCCAAAGTCTGTTCTCACTTCTGCTGAAGGGTGTGGGAGAGGGAATGGAAGATTGCAGGGGGACAAAGCAGGTGTGGCAAGCAGCTGGCTGCCAAGGTCCCAGGCTGCAGGCAATCTGTCGCCTGGAGGCCCGCAGGGAACTCACGCTGGTTTCAGGGCACTGATCAGATAAGGCAGCTGAGAGAAGCTCCTCCTCCTCCCAGTGAGCCATTAGAGGAGAGAGAGTCGTAGTTTTCCCCAGGCCTCGGTGGGCCCTCTCTAGGGACCACCTGTGTACCCACCTGATGAGGGGCTGGTCCTCTGGGCCGCCCTGCCCAGCTGTCCAGACTGCAGAGCAGGCTGTGCCTCTGAGGTCACCCCAGGTCACCCCAAATGGAGTTTGGGGAGCCCCCAAGCTCTCCAGTCACCTGCTGCAGACTGGGGTACTATGCTTTTTGCCCACGGAGGGCCAGTCTCCTCTATAAGGAGTGGCATCGCTGGTATCTCCTTGTTTCTCTCATGTCACCTCCCCGGAGGGGTCTGCCTTGGCCAGTGTAGGGGCGTGGGGTGGGGAGAAGGGTGCAGCCTCTCAGCGCTGGGGAGGAGAGGCCGGGACTCCTGCCCTCTCTGCCTCCAGAGGGCGCTTCCAGCAGGTGAGACCTTGACTTCAGGTCCTGCAATAACCCCCAGGTCTCTCCCTGCCTGGGTGTGGCTTCTGGGCTGCTGCACAGCTGGCTCACCATGTCGTGGGCCCCTGCCCCGTCATCTGCAGAAGGTCATGCCTGCGGGCATGACAGTGCCCTCTTCAGTCTGGCTGTCCCCGTGTGCCCCACATCCCGGTCTGAGGGCGTCAGGTTCCAGTGTCCGGCCTGCCCCGCCCGATCCACCCGTGGCTCAGGCCTCCCCTCTGCCCGCAGCGCCTGTCTGAAGCCTTTCTTTCTCTCAGGCTCCACTCGTCACCTGCTCCAGGAACCCTCCTGCCGGAAGTGGCCCATGTCCCAAGCCCCCAGGTTGTCTTCCTGGGCAGTCCCCATCACAGGGGTCTCAGCTGCCCACTGCCCATCTCTCCCATGTGGCTCCTTTAGGCAGCCACATTATAACGCCTCACTGCACTTCCAGGCACCCGCCGGCTTGCTTTCTAAGTACTTGCTTGTTTAATCTTCACAGCCACTCAGGGGAGCAAGGCGCCACCCCACGTCCTGGATGAGTAAACCAAGGCCCCGAGTTTGGTGACTTCCACAAGGTCCCCAAGCTTGTCTTCTCCCTCCCAGAGGTTCTGTGGCACACCCAGCAACGCACAGTGTGGGCAGCTGGCGGGAAGTGTTTGCTGAAGGGGCGTGCGGGGGACAAGGGCCTTGACACCTCAGTGCAGAGGGCCCCACACTTAAGCAGCCGGCAGCATCACCCTCACTCTGGTTCAGGAGGCCAAAGTGGGGCCTGAGGTTTTCACGTCTCACCTGTTCTCAGGTGCTGCTGCTGCTGCTGCTGGTGCAGAGGCCACACTTGGGCTTTATGCTGCTAATTAACATGTGTCACTTTCACCTAGACCAGGCTTGTTGTCCTCCCCAGACAGAACACAGAGCTCTCTCTGCCTCCCTCGTGGCCTCCTCGCCGGCCCCAGAACAGGACCCTACAATGAGCAGCACCTAATCCATGTTCCATGATGGACTAAGAGGTCCTGTGATGCTGGCTGAGTGACACAAGGACAGGGTCAGGAGAGGCTGGACTGACCAAGTCTTTAATGACCACACAAGAAGCCCCTGGCTGCAAGGGCGTCAGGCCAGAGCTGCCGGATGCAGAGTCCAGGCCAGGAATCCTGCCAGGAGCTGGTCGCCTGGTGGAGCACGTCCTGGGATTGCTGATCTTCCCTCCTGGCAGTTCTCAACCCCAGCTGCCAGTGAGAGTCCCCTGGGCGATTTAAAAAGTCCCGATGCCCTGGCTGCTGGCTGCACCCAGACCAGTCACATCAGAGTGGCTGGCATGGGGCCAGCTTCTGACAGCTACTCAGGTGTTCTCCAAGGCTTGGAAAAAGGAGTCTTGGGCCGGGCGCGGTGGCTCACGCCTGTAATCCTAGCACTCTGGGAGGCCAAGGTGGGTGGATTGCTCAAGGTCAGGAGTTCAAAACCAGCCTGAGCAAGAGCGAGACCCCCGTCTCTACTATAAATAGAAAGAAATTAATTGGCCAACTAATATATATACAAAAAAATTAGCCGGGCATGGTGGCGGCATGCCTATAGTCCCAGCTACTTGGAGGCTGAGGCAGGAGGATTGCTTGAGCCCAGAGGTTGGAGGTTGCTGTGAGCTCAGGCTGATGCCACGGACTCACTCTAGCCTGGGCAACAAAGCGAGACTCTGTTGGCTCAACCAGGGGGACACAAAGCTGGCTGGGAGAACAGGGTTCTGCAGAAGGCGTGGCCACCAGCTCTGTTTTGGTTTCCTGAGGCAGCCTTGTTGATGTGGCATGCTGCAATTCAGATACTGGAGGGTGAGGAATGCCTGGGAGAGGCTGACCCAACACTCTCTGGTTCACTCAAACAGCTGAGGGCCACAAAGGTTAAGGCCACAGCATCAGCAAGGAGGGCACTTGGTGGGTGGTACTCAGCTAGAACACAGAGCAAGCCTTCCTGACAGCGCTTCCATCAGTAAACAAGTTCTAAGCACTTCCAATAGATGTACATTTATTAATTGCTTCCATGGGTTAGTATACTAATACATTATGTACACTATAAAACACTCGCACAAAACAGACATTACAAAGATGGAAATAAAAAATATAGATAGAAATTCCCATATGTTCTTCCTGCTGCCCTTGGAGGTGTGTGCCCCTCTTTGGGACCCCTACCAGAGGCCCAGGAGCACTGAGAGGGAGGGTGGTCGCCAGGGTCCGGGAGTGCGGGTAAAGAGGACTGGGGATGGAGTCAGGCTGCAGGTCAGGCCCCAGGAGGAGGCTGTGGGCGGAGGGGGGTTGGGGTAGGCAGGATTGGGGGTAGGCCAGGGTTAGGGTCTGCAGCTCCCTGCTGCTGAGGAGGTGGAAGCTGCAGGCAGGGATCCAAGACCCGATCCAGGCCTGGGGAGCCCAGCCTGGCGGGATCCACGAGGGAGGGTCCCGCGGGGGGCCTGGGCCGGGGAGCCGGCACGGGAACCCGGGCAGAAGGGCCGCGGTGCGAGGCTCCGGAGTGAGGGACTCGGGACACGGATATTCGCCCGGGTCCAGCTCCGCCAGCAGCCGAGACAGGTCGTCCACCAGGTGCCACTTCTCCTGGACCTGCTGCGAGGGGAGCGAGCGGCGGGTTGCGCGGAGCCTGTTCTCACGCGCGGGCGGTGGGGACGACAGAGGGCGGCAACCCTGCAGTCCGCCGCGGGCCCCAGCCCGAGACCACGCCCCGTCAGGGCCCGCCCCCAGCGCATCCAGAGACCACGCCTGAGGCCCGCCCCCACACCACCCGAGACCACGCCCCATCAGGGCTGTCCCCAGCCAGAGGCCACACCCACCAGAGCCCGCCCCCAACGCAGTCCGAAACCACGCCCCTCATGGACCGCCCCCAGCCAGAGGCCACACCCACCAGAGCCCGCCCCAACGCAGTCCTAAACCACGCCCCTCATGGACCGCCCCCAGCCAGAGGCCACATCCACAAGAGCCCGCCGCCAACGCAGCCCGAAACCACGCCCCTCATGGACCGCCCCCAGCCAGAGGCCACATCCACAAGAGCCCGCCCCCAACGCAGCCCGAAACCACGCCCCTCATGGACCGCCCCCAGCCAGAAGCCACATCCACAAGAGCCCGCCCCCAACGCAGCCCGAAACCACGCCCCTCAGGGACCGCCCCCAGCCAGAGGCCACAT